TGATCAAAATGTTAATTTTCACAAAATTAGGTTACCATTCAATGATTTCCACCCCTAAAAACAAAATCTTGGGAGTATATTCATTCAGAGATTCATTCAGAAACGAAAACACACGAGTGGCGGGATTCTGCATGTTTTACGTTTCAGCGGCGATCCGATACCCTCGCCTCGCTCACGAGAAAGCGGAAGACAAACAACCTCATCAATGCTCCTTTCCCTCTCTCTCTCATCACTCCTCTTCGTTTCCACCAACGTCAAATCCATCCATGGATATCGATTTTCCTCTACCTGTAACCTTTCTATTCAAATCATTTTTCCTTTTCCCCTTTTTTACTTTCTTATTTGCTTTAGATTTCATTCTCCATTTTTGATTTCTGCAGAGATATTTGATTGAGATCGGGAACAGAGCGTCTGCACCATCTCCTTCAAGCTCCATTTCAGCGTGTTTCATCAAATTCCAGGTTTTTTTTTTCTCTTGATTTCCTCTTAGAATTCTCTGGATATAAAAATCCTGATTCTATTGTTTTATTTTATTATTTCGTCGGCGATCTATTTTGAAGCTCCATGTGAGTGTATTTTTACACAACATTTGGTTCCGCAGCACGAAATTTATTATAAATAAATAATTTTAATTATTATTTTATACTTATATATTTTAAATAATTTTTAATTAATATTTTGCTTCTTTTTTTTTTTTTTTAAAAAAACCAAAAAAAAAAAAAAATCCTCAAACCACATCACAACACTCACAACGCTGAAATTTTTTTTTTTTTGTTTTTTTTGGAGATTTTATTAATTGAAACTTTGGCGGTATTGTAATAGTTGCTTCTATGTTTTTTTTCAAGAGATCTGATTTTTACTTCTGTGATTACTTGATAGTGAAGAAGAGGTCTTGATAATGGAGAAGAGGAAGTATCCAATTGGAGCGCAGCATTATACACTTTATGAGGAGATTGGACAGGGTGTGAGTGCTTCGGTGCATCGTGCTCAATGTATACCCTTCAATGAGATTGTTGCAATCAAGATTCTTGATTTTGAACGCGATAACTGTGATCTGGTAATTCTTTAAGTTTTTCCATTTCTGTTGTGATTATAACTTACTATCAGTATGTTTCAAGTAATTGTATTCCAGCAACAGTAATCTCACCTGCATTAGCGAATGCTGTTTTATTTGAATTGGCTAAAATGTCATGACAGGGTTGATCTATTGTCAATGGTCATTCTTACTCTTTTTATTTGTTTCCTATTCACCTCTCTTGTTTTTGTGCAAAATGTAAGACATATTCAGATATCCCATGATGTAATAAAGGAAAGGAATAAGTAGGAGGTTTGGGTAGTAATGCTGTGATTGAAGAGCTGACAGAGGCTGTCTGTAGCCCAGTGAATCTTCTATTTTTATAATTTGAGATTTACCTTCGGAAAGGGAATGGTGGTATTATAATTGATACTATTGTAAAACTCAATTTGAATCGAAGTATTGTCTTCCATTACTTTTGTGATCAATAAGGCTTGGTCAGTTGGCACTGAAACAACTACAATGGATGCTCCTTGATTGCCTACTTTAGCTAGTTTTAGATTTGATGAGGTATTTGATCATTTTTTAGCTTTTTAAAGTAGGTTGTTGTCAAATGCTCTGATATAAACTTAGTTGATGAAGTTCAAGTTTGTTAGATTGCTATGCATCAGAGATGATTGTTCTGAGTTATATTAAACACGGCTATATGTTTTTCTCCTGTGGGCTTCTGTTTTCCTTTGTGTTTTATTTGTGGTTAATATCACATGCAAAACTTTTTGTATGCAGAATAGCGTTTCTCGTGAAGCACAAACCATGATCTTGGTTGACCATCCTAATGTTCTTAAATCACACTGCTCTTTTGTTAGTGATCATAATCTTTGGGTTGTAATGCCCTACATGGCTGGGGGGTCTTGTCTTCACATTTTGAAGGCAGCATACCCTGATGGTTTTGAGGAGGTAGTTATAGCAACAATACTTCGTGAGGTGTTGAAAGGCCTAGAATATCTTCATCATCATGGACACATACATCGAGATGTCAAAGTAAGAACTTTTTATATTTTTATCAAAATTTGAGTTCTTTCAAAAAATTGTTTCATCTGTCCTGGGGTTGTGATGCTTTGTTTGTTTGATGCATATATTGGAAGTTTTACTTTTGCACATTAAGAGATGATGTGATCCTCTATAATTGAGAAGTTTTATTTTGCTAATTAAGAAATAAGTATTTAAAGAGATTTGGTCATAGAAGATAATTGATCTCCTAAAAGCGTAAACATAGAATGAATATGATTTCTGATATTTTCAGTTGCATACTTTTGGATTGGTAACTCTACTAGGGCAGATTAGCTTGATTATTGTTGTAAACTTTGTTAATTTGGACAAGAGCTTAATTAGTTCCTTTGGATGTAATAATATTCTTTTGTTCTCAGTTCCTTAATTGTATTTTATTAGGCTGGGAATATTCTCATTGATGCTCGTGGAGCAATCAAGCTGGGAGATTTTGGTGTTTCAGCTTGCCTTTTTGATTCAGGTGATAGGCAACGTATGAGGAATACATTTGTGGGTACTCCTTGCTGGTATGATTATGCTTTGACATCTGTATAAAAAATCCGCCAAGTTCCTAGTTCTTAGTTAAGACTTGTGTTGTGTTGGATGATTTTTGGGATCAGGACCTTAGTGTACTGCTATTATGCCTTAGCAATTTATAATAGAAAACTGCTTTCTGATCCTTATAGTACAAGTTGCAAGATGACAGTGTTTCAATTTTTTTTTTCTAATAATTCTGCCCCCCTCACACCCTCTTTCTTTGACAGGATGGCACCTGAGGTCATGGAGCAGTTACGTGGTTATGATTTCAAGTCAGACTATTATTTTCTTACACAGATGACTTTATTGTTTTCTTACAATATTGCATCAGCCTTATGTTTATTTGAAAACTACCCTGCAGGGCTGATATATGGTCTTTTGGTATAACTGCATTGGAGCTTGCTCATGGCCATGCTCCATTCTCCAAATATCCACCAATGAAGGTACATAAAATATGCAATCTGCTTGCTATTGTCATGATCCTTCATAGAACATCAATATGTTGTTACATTTTAAAGCATATTCATTGTTCTTAGGTGTTGCTTATGACTTTGCAAAATGCACCACCTGGCCTGGATTATGAAAGAGATAGGAAGTTTTCTAAGGTATGCTCTGCACAATATGATCAATGAAATTAATGTTCTCTGGGTTTATTTAGATCACATGACTTGCTCCTTTTCTCTTCCTTAAAATTCCATCTCCATTTTTTCATTATATCACCTTTTTTTTGGTCCAAATTATCACATGTTATTAATTCAATAAAAAATTATCTTCAAGAATAAAATTTTGTTAGGATTAAGTTTTTTTTTCCCCCCATTCAGTCTTTCAAACAGATGATTGCCAGCTGCTTGGTTAAAGATCCATCAAAAAGGCCTTCAGCAAAGAAGTTGCTAAAACATTCCTTTTTCAAGCAAGGCAGATCAAATGATTACATAGCACGAACACTCCTTGAGGGGTTGCCTTCTCTTGGTGATGGTGTCAGGGCATTGAAGGTTAGCACTTCAATTTCTGGGATATGGCTCTACATTAGTAGGCCTTATGTTATGTTTATATTTCTGTCTTACATTTACAAATTGTATGATTTTGAAACATAGAGAAAGGAAGAAGATATGCTTGCACAAAAGAAAATGCCAGATGGAGAGATGGAAGAACTATCACAGGTTGGGGATTTTATTTCTTCATTGGTTGAACTTCAAAAGATGCATGTATGAATGCAAATGGCAAAAGTATTCTTTATTGTTTGCTTTTCTTTTTTTGTCTTTGAATGAATTGGTCTTTTGAGTCATATTGTAATTATACCACATCTCAACAATGGTTATAATTGCCAGTTTCCAAAGATAAATTAATTAATAACCAATGCCATTCCTTATTATCAAACTAAACGTTGCACTTGTAACTTCCTTTTCTGAGTTTCTCTAATGATTTATGTTTTGGCATATCTGCTGAAACTTTCTTCACTTTTAGAACTTAAAATATTTTAAATCATAAATTTTAGAGGCTGGGTTTAGTGAAAGGTGCAAATATGCAGTATATGTATGAATCTTTTAAAAAATTAAGATTCATGTTTAAGTGAAGTTGGTGTTGGAGTGTCAGTTTTTCAGTGAAATGTAATCATTGATCACTAATGATCAGTATGTTTTTTTCATTCTTTCAGACATTCTGGCTCTGTTTTTGTCCCAGACAGAATGCTTATATCTTATGCTTTTCACTTATCAGTACAATATTTCACATGAAAACATGGTTATGTTACTGATTCGTGGTCTTTGGGGTACATTACTGATTGGTATTTTCTGACCTAAATACCATGATCCTTTAATCATGTGTAGAATGAATACAAACGGGGGATTAGTGGTTGGAACTTCAACCTTGAAGATGTGAAGGCTCAAGCATCCCTGGTATAGGATTTGTTTCTTTCTTCAGTGGATATTTTACGGTTTTTATGCTCTTTAAAAATTCATGCTATTTATCAGATCCAAGATGAAGACATTCTATTAGATGGTAACCAAGGAGGGGGCTCAAATTCTTTGTCAGCTCTTGATGCGCAGGATAAGCAGTCAGAGTTCCAAACTGCATCAAGAGGGAACTCTTCACAAGTTGCAGATATGGTATTTCAATATTCTGGTTTTTCTAGTTTTGTGGTTGGAGCTAGGTCACATATTGTTGCCATTTTCTTATTACCACTTCGAAATCCACAGGATGGTAATGATCTGATCCTGAATCAACCAGCTAGCTCTGCAGCATTTGTGCCAGCAATAAATATTTCCAAGTAGGTCATCCAGACATCTAGATTATGGCTTATGTGAATGTAGTATAGCCATGCTTGCTGCAGAATAAAATTTTTAATACTTTTCTTTTCATATTAATGTTCTTTAATGTTTTACTGAGGATGCGATTTCATTTAGTTGAGGTAATCTAATAAAACTTGTGTGATATTTCAGAGATAAATGTGAAAGATCCGATGATGATTCAAGCATTGCCAGTCCCCAGAATGAACAGTTTGTGATTTCTCATTGTCATTGTGAAGATATTGAAATCAATTGCGGTGAAAAGCTCACCTTGGAGACCAGAGGAAAATCTTTGGAATATACTGTTGCTCCTCATCAGAGAACAGTTGGTTCTTCAGCCAGCAGTTCACCAGAAATTAATATCGCTCTGACCAAAGGAGAAAGGTTTCACATTTAGTGCTTTCATGTTTGCTTGCTTGGTTCAAACATTATTTACCTTATATCTCCCACTTAGGATTTAGGAAGAGCTTAGTTTTTTTCATTATATGAACTTCCTCAACCAGCAATTTGATATTTTTAAAAGCTGCATGTTAAATGCGCATAGCATCCATAATATGCAGCATGCTATTCTTCCTTCTATCTGATGTTATTACTGATAAATATGGTGGGTATTTGATTGCCACAAAATTTATGTTGAACAACTATCAGGGAACAGCAAAAATTCAAATGATCCCCCAAAATGATCTTATCTGTTTTTTACATTAGAGCTTTTGATGATCTTATCTGTTTTGACTATCATGAATATGTAGAGTATATCGTATTTCTTATCTTGTTGGTTCTCACTCATAGATGTGAAGTTTTCAGTGATAAGCAAAATCAGCCCCAATGTATTCCTGCATGCAATGGGGCAACATCTCCCCGTGGAGGAGAGGAAATTGTTCCTGAACTTCCATCTAAGATATCTAAATCATCAGGCAAGTTCTTGCATGTCCACTTTGTTTATTTCTTTATCTTGAAAAGAAACCTCCAACATCATGTTTTCTTGATATATTGTCAGCCTGTTCTCCTGCTTTTGCAAGGTGATTTACTCTCCTACTACTGAACTATAGTATCATTGCAGCAGTGAACAATGATGAACTTGATGAGAAGGCAAAGCCTCCCGTTATTCAGCAAAGAGGACGTTTTAAAGTTACATCAGAGAATCTTGACCTGGAAAAGGTGCTTAGATCATCCTGGCCTGAATGTTCCTTCTCAATTGCATGTTGGATATGTGCTAACCTTCTCCTTTTCTTGTTGGTTTTTTTTTTAATTGGCTTTTCATGTTGGCTATGTTTTCACCTTCTGTCTTCAGGTTGGCCCTTCACCTACACTGCAGAAGAGTCACAGCATGCAGGTTGGTAGGGAGGTCAGCACATATGTGCCAAAGCACCTATTGTGGCATGTCTTTAAATAATTCATTTTGATAAGTTTGAGAATTTCGTAACTGACTAGCATATCCTAGTTTGTTTTAGAACTCACAGAAAGTTGAATGATTAGGTATTTGACTTGCATAGAAAAAAATTTAACTAGGATTCCTAAAAGGCTTGCTTAACAAAGATGCAAGCCATAAATGGGGATAGGTATTGAATTCTCTCTCTTCCTAAAAGGACTTTCATGGTCAAATGCAGAAAATTTCTCATCTCCAGTCTATTACATTTGGGTGGCTAATCCCTTTATCAAACAGCATTTGACCATGGTGCTAAAAGTTATTTTGCCAATGCATCTTTTAGCCTTAAAATATTGATTGTTTTGTTTCCAATTTTTGTAAATTTGTTTGACTTGCTGCATCACAGGTACTTTGTATCACTGGTTAAAGTTGAGTTTGTTTGTATTTCTTCTGTTCATGCTTAATGCAATTGACAATTTTCCCAAAAAAAGAAAAAAAAGAAGTACTTGTGTCAATAGTAAAACTTTGGATGATCAGAAATAGGATTGGTTGTTTTGAATCAGATAGCTTGAAGGGATAGGTCTTAGTTTGCTGGGTTTTAATTCTAAGCCAAACCCCCTATTTGCACCTTGCACATTATTTTTTTCTGTGGTCAATACCCACCATAATTTTCACTTCCAATCAACACCCTTCATAATTTGAAACCTATAAAAAAAACCCCAAATTACCAACAAAATTAGGGTGCAAGTAGGGGGTTTGACCATTAATTTTTGGGTTTTTTTTACAAGTTTTAAATTATGGAGGGTGATGACCGGGAGTAAAAATTCTTGAGGGTGTTGACTACAAAAAAAATAATGTGCAAAGTGCAAATAGGGAGTTTGGCCTTAATTCTAAAGTATTTTTTCTTCCTTTCTCCAGTCATGCTTCAGTAATTAATAACTTTCTGGTGGCATTAATTAAGAATTTTTTATTTAGTTTTGTGGCATGTGTTTATCATGCTAGGCTCTTTTGCACCTTTTAGTAACATTGAGTAATAAGTACCCTTTTTTGTACCCAAGGAATGGTTCACTAGTTGGCAAGGGGGTTTGCCCCTCACCTTCTTGACCAGTGTTAAATTCCTTAGGGGGGCCAATAAGGAGCTTATTCCTCATAAATTCCCTAGTCCCAATGTGAATGTTGGCCCATGATAGGCCAATGACTAGTTTCCTTTGACCAAACCAGAGAGGTGGACTTAGTATGGTATGTTAAAGTTGGCCCATGATACCACCTGACCACTATATCAAAAAAAGTATCCTTTTCTGTTTCCAGAAGTCATGCATAACCAATAAAATCGTTCGTTGTTTTTTTCTCTGGCAACAAATACTGGTTCCAAGGCAGCAATATATTTTGGGAAATACATGCATCATATGCCCTAGAAAGTAGAAACAAGAATGCGTGCATGTCCTTATCATTGTTTATCTAATAGCGGCTTTACATGTTATGTAGGTGCTTACCCAACATCCCGTGGTTTCTCTACAATCACCACCAGCAGATGCTGGTTCTTCAACTACTTCTCCTCATTCTCTCTTTACCACACTGCAAACTGTTTTGCAGACAAACATTCTTCAGAGGGTATTGTTAAGCCATTTATTTTTGGCATTTTAACATTGTAATTATGACTGGTGTATCTCTCTTTTGACATATTTTTTGTGAACAGGAGGCAATTCTAACACTGATGAAGCAAATTTCTGCTAACTTTACAGGTTCCAGGAAATTAAGATCCTAAGAACTCTAATTTTTCTATTTGATATATCCAAATTAGCTTATTTTGTCTTCTTCCTCCACTACACAGCCAACCGTCCAATTGAGGGAGGATGTCTATTACTCAATACACTTGGAGAAAAATCTTTGGTATGAAAATACACTGCCCTGTCATTGTACTTAGATTGTCATCTCTTTCCTAACTGATTATCAAGCAACTTTAAAATAGAGATTCACCATCTATTAGAATCACCCACTATAGTCCTGGAAATAGTTGCCCAACACTGCAACATTTTATGAATCTGTGCTTTTGTTATGACTTGCATTGTTGGCTTTTTAGGATTTAGATAGGCAACTGTTAGATTGTTGGCATCAAAATCACTTCAGTTGCTGGTCAAGCTAAGGAGATGTCAATTTTGTTTGGTTTTTTTTTTTTTTTTTTTAATTTCACCCCAAAATGGACTGTCTGCTGTTATCTAAATTGTGGTGAGGATTTAGTTGCCTGATTTACACTGCAATTGCTTCTGCCTGCACATCAATGAATGTAGTAAAGCTTAATCGATTCTAGAAATCATCTCATGGAAAATTCTACACTTCAGTCTAGAATTTAGGCTTCAGAGTTTGCCTAGATTTTCCTGTTGGTTTTGCTCAATACTTCTGGCTAGAAAGTTAACCGCTTAGGAAGCTCTATGGGGATTAGGGAAGGATTCCCATCTCTGCTTAACTTGCTTCCAGAGGAATTAATCAGAAGGCCAGATGGGGAACTTTCCGCATGGTCTAGTGTTTTTCTTTTCTTTCTTTTTACCATAATATAAGTACGTGCGCTGGAAATTAAAGTTATTAATGAAAATTCTGTTTTGATCTGCAGCTTGAAGCAGCTCATGACAGGGAAAAGGAGTTACTTCATGAAATAACCGACTTGCAGTGGAGGTATTTCAATCCTGTGCACTTGTACATACGTGCACAACTAAATTATAACTTCGTTATTAAAACTTTGTTTTCTATATGTAGGCTTATATGCGCCCAAGATGAAATCCAAAAATACAAAACCGAAAATGCTCAGGTAAAATTCCTGGATTTACACACCATCTGGTTTATGCTAGGGATACTCATTCTAATTCCTTGATTTCAGGTCTGATTTAATTTTCATGTCATTGTCTGATGGATGAATTTAGGCCAAATTTGTCGAACCATATTATACCAGTGAAATTCTACCAAAAAAAAATAAAATATTATACCAGTGAAAGCGTATTGAAACATATTCTGCTGGAGAGGTCACTAATTATCAGTAGTTCGACATTATTCCTAGTTTAGGTTACTTTATTTACTTTAAATAGTCGAAATGTATCTCATTACTTAGTTATCCTCTAACTTTGAGCAGCTTCTTTTACTGTACATAACCCTTTTATGGATTATTGTAGCTCTTATTGTCTGTAGATACACTTCAATTATGATTTTAGGCTGATTTTTTAACTCCAGTTTTTAGCACAAGGACGTTTACTTTGTCCTATTTCTTCTGTGGTTATCATAACGAAGAAGTGGATTGTGGTTACACGATTTCTTTGATATTCGTTTTAGTTTTCCATGAATCCTCAATCTTATGAAGAGCACATCAATATGCAGAAACACAAGGGTATGGTTGATATCCTTTGTTATTGTCGATCTTCAAGAAGAGAAAAGTAAGAGTTTAGAACGGAATAAGTTGATAGCCTCCATGAATAGAGTAACAAAAACACCTGAATCCGTCAAAATTAACTTACATTAAGAGAAAACTTCATTAAATGGAAATATGTCCTATACGAGGACAATCAATGAGCATTTTTTGGATGTATCATACTTGAAAATTGATAAAGTATCTGGGTGCTACATACAGAAAATGAAAGGGTAAAAACTTAAAATACAATAATTTAAAACCACATGATTGTAAGTTTTATTATTGCCGCATAAAAAAATAATTTTCCCCCTTTCTTATATTTTGGGCAAAAACTAGTCCACTACGTTGAGTAAAATGATGATTCACACATCAAAAGATAGTAGAAACTGGAATTGATTTACTATATTTACAGTGCAATGTGAAACTGGCATCTGGCTTGTCACCATGGAAGGGTGCCTCCAACTTCTCTGCTTCCTCCACAATAGTCCAGTCCACAGTCCCTCTTTCATAGCGGAAGTGACTACCATTTCAATCCACATGTTTCCATTTAAACCCCATCCCTCTCCTCCATTATCCTCATCGCATCTGCCTTTTACTCAAACAATAAAATTCTCATTCTCTTCAAAATAGAGTGTCTTCATCTAAAGTTTCTCTCTTTTTCTTCTTCTCCTTTTCTGTTCTCTGCAACAACTGCACTCGACATCACCGAGGTCATCAACGGTTACCAAGATTACAGCACGTTTAACAACTACCCAACTCAAACCCAAATAGCAAATGCGATCAACAGCCGCCAGAACCAGACCCTCACCGAGCTCGTCGTCAACAACGGCAACATGGGAGTGGTTTCCGGCCTCCCGATGGACACCCTCAAGTCGTTACTAACTCTGCACGTTCTCTTCGATTACTTCGATCTTCAGAAGTTAAAGAATTTACCCAACAATACCGTCCACGTCACTACACTTTACCAAACGAGCGACCAGGCCACCAACCAACGTGGGTTTCTGAACGCCACGATCTCCGGCAACGGTGACGTAGCATTCATGTCTGCCGCTAGTGGGTCCAGTGTGAATTCCAAGGTGATTAAGAACGTTTATGCTCAACCGTGTAACTTCTCTGTTTTGGAAATTAGCAATCTCATAACGCCGCCGGGGCTAACCGGCGGCAATTCCAGCTCAAATTCGAGCGTCTGCTCTCCTGCACCAACTAATTCTACTCCGGCCAGTTCCCCAATTAAGTCTCCCACCCCTCCCATTTCCCCTGTAGCCAGCTACTCCTCTGCCCCTGCACCATCTAGAGAAACAATTACTCCACCTGACGCCCCTTCGGGGAAATCTTCAGCTGCAGCTATCGGTGGCTTCGGGGATCAAGTCTGCCACTTTCGCTGTGGTGTTGGCATCTGCTTGGTTCTGGGTGGGAAGAGGAAATTAAGAGATGGAAAATAAAGCTTTGTTTCTGTGCAATGTGTAACCCATTTGGTACTTTTAACACATAAATGTAGCAGTGAGTCGTTCCAACTTCCAAGTGAGTCTCATTTTCTCAGCAATGCAAAGTTTTATTTCTAAACAGCAAAGTAAAAACCATATCGTCTTTAACTACTCTCATTTTAATTATTAAGACGTTCAATCTCATTTTAATTATTAAGGTATTGGTGCTGAAACATTGAAGATCCATTACTAGAACCTATACCGACTGATATTTTTTAGACACGTTTTAATGACAAGCTAAATTCTTGTTGAATGAGAACATGGCTAATGCTGCATCCTCATTTCACATTAGTGATCGGACTTCTTCCTTTGAATGAATGGGGAGGAATACTAAAAGTAAGAGAGGTTCATTTTGTTGTATCTTCTTTTTTTTCTTTTATCTATATTATTGTAATATAATAAAAATAAAATTTCATAGATCTTGCAATCATAAAGCTGGAGATGATTTTCCATCTTCTAATCTTTCAAAAATTTAAGATTTATATAATTTCCATGAATTTGTAATTTTATAGGTGTTTAAATTGACAATTTAAATGTATCAAATGATAAATAGGTTTTTTTTTTTTTTCGATTAAGTACACTTTTTGAAAAACAAAAAATTGAATCCAACTCATGAAATTAAAAGATATACCGGCATCATGTGTAAATAATAAATAATTTATATGTAATGTTATTTATAATTTAAATATTTTTATTTACTTATTAATTAAAAATATAAATTGCTCAACACAAATATTTGTACCAAAGTGCTATGAAAGTTTTATAAATAATTGATGATTTTACTTAAAATTAAGATCCAATTATGTTCGTGTAAGTCATTATTACAATGATATTGTTTTATTTAGAGACTGTTTTGATATAATAATAGTTTAAAATTAATAATAATTATTATAATTTAATCTAATTAATAATATTATTATTAATTATTTATCACTAAATTTAAACCATTATAATAAAATGGATTAGGCAAACCCCAGTAAGTGGAAGAGTAGTTTGTTTACTCAATGGTTAAGCACTTAAGCTTTCCATTTTTGGAAAGCCGCTTCAATAGTTAAAGTAAGTTAATTAATTAATTATTACCAAAAAAAAAGTTAATTAATTAATTTGCAAATTAGTTACAAACATATACTTTTTTTTTTTGGGAAAAGACAATAGTACAAATTTACTTTTTAAATTTGGTAAATTTAGTTAATTTTAAAAAATAATAGAAAAAAAACTAAAAAGTGCTCATTTAACCATAAAAAATAGGGATTCGGCCAACGAAATTACTTAATTTTTTTTTTAACAAATTCACAAAAGTACATATTCAAACCATTACCTAAAAAAAAAAATACACTTATACATCACTTTAAGTCCAAGTACAACAAAATTACTTAATTAATTAATCCTGTCTTAAGTTTTTGAATAAAAAATTGGCATTAGAATTGGGCTG